CCTTCATCTGGGATAGCAGAAACAACATTGCAGGATTTCGACTTTGATAAAGTCCACTGTTCGTCTGTTAGTAGGTCAGAATTGACCAACATAACCTTGCCTTTAGGAGTGGTGTAAGGAATCATGCCCTTCTCTTTTTGCTGATGAGGGTCAAGGTTCATGACCCGAGTCTCTATCCTGGGAATTGGTTTTACACCATCTTGGACTTGAACTTTAGCAAAATCTCCAAATTGCAAGACAATCATATTTGCAGATACTTTCTTTTGATCTTCTCTGAGGGTTAGACCACCTGCCTCTAATAAACCTATATCTTGTCTTTCAAGATATAATAATCTTTTGTTAGATGATGCACCATTCTATAATACATGTAGTAGTTGGGATCATTTGTTTTTGACACTTCTTCAGGCAGGCTTTTTCGCCTCTGGGAGCTTAAGCCTGTTCATCTTCATTAGAGATTTGAAGATCGGGATGACTTTGTCCTCCTTGAAGTCATACCTCCTCGGAGGACGACTATAAGACGAATTGTTTTTCTTCTTAGGAATGGTCTTAGGGGAGGGATTTGTTTCCACCGCCAATGTGTCCTTTCCTTTTGATTGTTTCTGGTTACCCCCTTTCTTCAGGCAAGACTCATGAGGTTCTTTAGCTTCCATCCTCTTGCACATATTCTCGACCTGTTCTCTCTGCCACACCAAGTCCTTCCATGTGCCAGCTTCAATAGTGCCCATCTTTGAAAGTATATTGATGGAGATATTATGTCTGCACATTTCATGAGTGTAGCCTCAGAGACCTGATCATGAGAATGTAGTGATCGATTCCTGAATCTTTTGACAAAGTCACTAACGGACTCTGTCTTCTTTTGCATTTCAGCCAGGAGAGCAGCCATAGACACTTCCATGTCATCATCAAAGAACCTGGCCATGAAAAGTCTCTCCAAGTCCTTCCAACATTTTCTGAACCCAGGCTCCAATCTTCTAAACTATTCAAAAGTAACCCCCTTAAGGGTGCTAATGAATAAACAGGCCACGATAGGATCGTTGCCCGTTATGTGTCCAGTCTACGCCTGAAAATAGTAGACATGTCTGTAGGCTGTCTAAAAATCACAATAGATAGCTTATTCAAACAAGCTCCGACAACGGAGGTCACAATCAGACGACTTCCCAATCACTGTATCCGCAACTCCACAATTGCCACAAACGCGACCTCACCTCTGAGATGATTGATCTTGATGGCTGTGACAACAGCATGGCTAATATCGTAGCAATTATTAGAGATGCTGATGAGCAGTGGGACGATTTCAGAAATAAAAAGTTGGACTCAGTTGGTGAGTTGCTTGGTAGAGAGCTATGGGCGAATATTCATCTTTAAGACACTATGGATGTTGATTCCCGTCTAGCTCCTACAACGAAAGCTACAATCAAATAGCTTTCGGGTCGATGATCGAAACATATAATCGAATAGTTGCTTGGTAGAGAGCTATGGGCGAATATTCATCTTTAAGACACTATGGATGTTGATTCCCGTCTAGCTCCTACAACAAAAGCTACAATCAAATAGCTTTCGGGTCGGTGATCGAAAGCGGCAAATAGAGGACTTTTCACATAGATCGAGAAAGGTTACAATCCAACGACACTTCCGACAACTAAAAAGTTGGACTCAGTTGGTGAGTTGCTTGGTAGAGAGCTATGGGCGAATATTCATCTTTAAGACACTATGGATGTTGATTCCCGTCTAGCTCCTACAACGAAAGCTACAATCAAATAGCTTTCGGGTCGATGATCGAAACATATAGTCGAATAGTTGCTTGGTAGAGAGCTATGGGCGAATATTCATCTTTAAGACACTATGGATGTTGATTCCCGTCTAGCTCCTACAACGAAAGCTACAATCAAATAGTTTTCGGGTCGGCAGTCGAAAGCGGTAAATAGAGGACTTTTACAATTCAACGACACTTCTGACGACTGATGAAAACTCTATGCAGCAGTCTTCACAATCTACAGTGAAAGTTACAATCTGACGGCTTTCACACCCCACAACAACTAAAACTAGGATTATTGAACAACGGTCCTTGCAACGCTCTACAGAAGAAGTTACAAATCAGCTAACTCCTTCTGAAACGCGGGTGTCATCCCCGCGTCATAACTTTGGAAATGAAGGCGACCCTCGCGTCGTCAATGCACAAGCCAAACGTGAGCGACCCTCGCGTTCAATGGTGTTCAGCTAACACCCAACTTCGCGTCTCAATTCAAAGAACACGAAGTTGAGTTCTAAACGCCAGAATGGGCGTTTGACTTATTCAAACATAAGTCGAACGGTTCCAAAACCGTTTATCCCACGTTCTGAGGGATTTTCGCCCACGTAGGAGCGGATATAGGGGTTAGTTACAACCTCTTATCCCCCTATAAAAGCTCAACGAACTCAACTGAGTTAGAGGTTGGATTTTTGGCATCTGAACCACACAGGTTGGATTCAAAAGATCTAAACCATACAGGTTGGAGATTTTCAGTTCTAAAACAAACTCGACAGAGTTAAAGGATCGGATTTTTGATAATCAGATTAGAGGTTGGATTCTTTATCATCAAAACCACTCAGGTTTGGAGATTCGGCAACGACAGCAACGAAATCCTTGGAGATAGGATTTTTGAATCAACCTCAGAAGATCAAATCTGAGAGGATTCTTCGACAACAGAAAAACAGCTTGATCCTTAACCGAATTTTCGGTTCCAACAACTCTATTCACAGAGTTCAAACTCGTTCAGAGTTCTTAAACTCATTCAGAGTTATTCATAAAACTTTCCACGAAAGTTCATCGTTCCCACGAGATAAAGACGGTCGGATCGTCAACGGAGAGCAAGTTCGACGCAATCAATCGAAGGAAGCACTCCATTGCTGCCAAGAAGAACCCAGTTTTAAACAAAGGGGAAAATCAAATTCGTTTTCCTCTCTTTTGTAATCAAGTTGTAACCGAGATCAAAGGAATCAAAGTCACATTTTCTTTAGTCTCTTCTTTACAATTTTTCCAACAAACAATGTCATGAAGGGGAACCCTTGCCATTGAACTGCACGAGGTTGAGTGGCTTGAACTTTGGAGGATAAGGGACGTCATCCCATTTAGAAGGATATGGTTTGGTCACCCCAGCTCTTTGAAGTTTCCTTGTAGCTTTAGCGCATCCAGTTATTTATGGAAGTCATCCAATTTATAGTCTCGCTGTTTTGCACGAGGGTTGGATTCAACCTCAGATGACTTAGAATGAATTTTGAAGATTTCTTCCTCCTCATCCTCTTCATTATTTCCCTCTTGGTTCCAACGGTTAGTTTCTTTAGCAGCAAGTGAAGGTCGCCTACGCCTTGATCTTAAGGCTTTGGTGGTAGCTTTTTTCTTTTTCTTTTCTCCAAGAAGTTTTTCTATCATTGCTTCCATGCGCCTGATAGACTCTTGTTTTGGAGGATAGTTGCTTGTTGTTCTTCTAGTCTCCTTTCCATATCTTCTTCATTTTCCGCCATGTGAGCACTCGCCTGTTCACTTTGATCGGTACTAGAAGGCTGTGATGTTGCAATGGCAGAGTTCTGAGGTTCTTCATTGACATCATCAGATATGCCAGAAAGGCATCGATAGTCTAAATGAACCATTACTCTGGTACGAGTATGGGTATGCTGATAAATGCCCTGTCCTTCAATAAGCGCTCCTCGTAACCCCGGGGAAAATTCAGGGTCGGAGGATTCTGAGGAATCGGTTAAAGCTTTGCCTTTGCCTTTACCAACCTTGTTAATCATCACTTCAATGTGACGATTCTTAGACACACTACTACAAATATGAGTATTAACTATGGAACTATAGCGACGGAAATTTCTGTCGCTATAAGGCCACTTATAGCGACGGAAATTTCCGTCGCTATAGTTCCGTCGGCAATAGACGGAAATTTCCGTCACTATAGTTCCATCGGCAATACACTTATACCGACGGAATTGTTATTATTAGCGATGAAAATTCCGTTACTAATAAACAAATTTTATCGACGGAAATTCCATAGCTAAAACTACTTTTAGCGATGGAAATTCCGTAGCTAAAACAACTTTTGGCGACGGAAATTTCGTCGCTAAAAAATAAAAGAAAAAGAAAAATTTTGGGCACGGGCTTGCCCAAAAAAATTGGGCATCCCGCGCCCGACAGAGGGATTTCCCCTAAATCCTTATCTCATTTCCCCCCTCTCCTCATTCCCCCCCTCCCCCCCTCTCTCCCTCCCCTTTCTCTTCGTCGGCACCACAACCGCCGCCAACCCTCACCCCCATCCTCCGCTCCCTCGCCCACCGCATCGCCACCCTCGAGTCCTCCTCCTCCTCACGTCACCGCACCTGGCCCATCCTTCGCTCTCCGAAGAAGAAGAAGAAGGGGAGATGGAGGCAGACGACGAGATGGCCGCCGCCGATGCCGATGACCAAGATCCCCAATCCTCTAAGGAGGTAGCTCCGAAACCCTAGATTTTGATTTCTTTAGTTAGAAAGACTGAAGATGGTATCTTGTTGGAGTAGAACTTGGAGGTGATGAAGCAGAGGTTGAAGGAGATCGAGGAGGAAGCTGGAGCCCTGCAAGAGATGCATGCTAAGGTCGAGAAGGATATGTCTGTTGTTCAAGGTTTGGTTTTCCCTCCTCCCTATGTTTCTCGTTTTCTAGGGTTTTTGCCGGAGCCACTTTGTTCGGGATTAGGGTTTCGGTACACTATGTTTTCCGAGAAAGCTGCCCTGTAGTTCAGTTCTTGTATACTTACAGTCATTGTGCGTGCTTTGTTGATTGTGTGCTCTTACAGTCTCTTATTGGAAGATTATGTTTGCTCCTTGGTTTAACATTTCCTTGTGCTTTCACTCTAATTTTTGATTGCTTAGTGCTGGATAAGTTGACGTTCTTGTTATATTGTGACTACCAGTATACAGTTTCGTAGTCACATCCCATTTTTAATGGATGCACTGCTTATTGCTCATATTCTTTTGAAGATGTAAGATGACAGATGGAGGTATTTGGTAGCATGCATCTTAGTGAAATGTTAGCAGTAGAACAGTCTTAACTAGTGAAGCAAATTTTCTTTCTTTTTGGTAGTATCCCTTTTATTTTAATCAATCTTATGAGTATTATGAATTATACTTCTCATACCGATTGTTAGGTGGACTATGCCTGCACTCCTGAGGAAGTGCAACAACATTTTCAGTCTTGTGGGACTGTAAACAGAGTAACAATTTTAACAGACAAGTTTGGTCAGCCCAAGGGATTTGCATATGTGGAATTTGTTGAAGTAGAGGCTGTTCAGAATGCTCTGCCGTTGAATGAATCGGAATTGCATGGTCATCAGCTAAAGGTTTGCATTAATTTGATTAGGTTAAACTTTACAATGTAAACATCCAACTGATTTGGTTGTGGTGCAGGTGTCAGCTAAAAGGACTAATGTACCAGGAATGAAACAGTACCGGGGTCGTCGAGCAAGCCCATATATGGGCTTTCGATCACGAAGGCCTTACATGCCACCTCCATTTTATGCTCCTTTTGCATATGGGTATACTATTTTACTTTGATGTTTGTATTTATTTATTATATGCCCTCTAAAGATATGTCTTATTGTATTATATGCTCTCAAAAGACATGCTTTTGTCTGGTGATATAAGGTGAAATGTTAACTTGTCACAAACTAGTTTCTCATAGAGCTTATATGGTCTCATAGGCCACTTATACAACACTCGTGGTTGCCTAATGCTGGTTATATGAGCTTGTTTGCATACTGTGATGGCTTGCCTAATGACATTTCATGTTCTCCTTCCTCCCTATTATTTTTGATAAATATTGTTGAACGTGTTTATATTTTTGATGTTCACCATGTATTTTAAATGAGGATCAGAAACTTTAAAATTTACTTATCTATAAAATTGTTAATGATAGTTTCCTGTTATTTATACTATTATAATGTTGGGTATTTCATTATATTTGCAGACCGGGACTTCTAGACAAGGTGGAGCTGGGGGTAGTCATGGTGGAGCTGGTGATGAGGATGATGGCGATGAATGATTTGTAATAATTTAACTTTAAAGACAATAGTTGTATAAACAATATGTATTATGTCAGGGTATTTTTATTTGTTTTTATTGAAATATGTGTTATACATATGTGGTATTGCTGATTGAACAGGGATTATTATGTTTTTGTACAAGGTATTTTCAAATTTCAAAATATTTTTTAAAAAGATACTGGTCACTTTTTAGGGACGGATTTTCTGTCGCTAAAATATCTTTAGCGACGGAAAATCTGTTGCTAAAGACATCTTTAGCGACGGAAAATCCGTCGCTAAAGATTTTTTTTTAAAATTTAAAAAAAAAGTACGATGGAAAATCCGTCGCTAATATTTAGCGACGGATTATTCGTCGCTAATAGTCATATTAGGGACCCTCAATGTAGTGTCGGTATTTTAGCGACGGAATTTTATTTTTTCCGTCGCTAAAAGTTTTAGCGACGGATTTTGGACTTTTAGCGACGGATTTTTTCGTCGCTAAAAGTCCTGTTTCCAGTAGTGACACTTGTTTCTTAGGACGAAAGGATCTTCTTCTGGATGTTAAAATCACTGATGGTTCTGATAATCTTTCAAAAACCATAGATTTTTGTGGCGATTCACTACATGAGCACCGGGAAAGCACTGCGAAAATAAGTTTCTCACAATAGTAATGAGATTACATCTGACTCATGCTATGTTTGCGTGTGAGGTAGTCACGAAGATCCGTGGTGGAATGTGATACCCCAGGGTTCACACAAGGCTGCAATCCAAGGTGAATCCCAGAATGTTAAACCTGCTATGCACCAACACCGTGCAACAACATGTTTCACCATCACAGTTACTATCTCTTTAGAAGAATCAATAAACATGTGTAGGTACAAACAGGCAAACAATAGTGAAGTAGTACAATGAACAGATTAAACATAGAAGATGTATAAATAACCATTATCAGGGCCTAACTGAAATAGAATAAAATAACTCTGAATATGAAATAAAATGTGATATGTCTCAACACAAGAGTCAAATAAAATCTCACTAAGGCACTCAACCTCTACAAAATAGAATCACAATATCTAGGGTCTAAAAATAAGCAACTAAATGTGGAGCTTTGGAATAATTACAATTGTAAATAACTAGATGAAATCTAAAATGCAATCCCATCAACTTGTGACTCTCCATGCGCCTGACTCGCCACCTGAAAGGAGGGGAACAACGAGCGTCAAAGCACTAGCGTTATCATCTCCACCACCCTAGGGGAAAGGGTAGGAGTATATAAGAAAATATTATTAGTACATATAGCTATAAAAAATCATTCATATAACACTAAATGGAGATTGATATTTATCAACTGTTAAATCCTGTAAATTTGAATATTTTATGATAAATAATAATGTGTTATATGGTGATAAATAATATTTATTGATGTTTGAGTATGTTAGAATTTGATTTGAGATCAATTCAATGTATATATATGAATATAGGAGTGAAATCATGCACTATATACATGAGCTTGAAATATTGAAAAATGACTAGTTTAGAGTTTATATATTTTACACAATGATACATTTGGAATCTAGAAGAACTCAAAAGACTAAAGTTGTATGTATCGTCAACATTTTTTCGACAAATCTTAAATCACCTTATTCTGAGGTCATATGAGAAAGATAAAGCCAAAATAACAAAGGTAGTTTTCCAAGTCAGACTAGGTTTCCTGGTTCAGGCCAAACGGGTTTGTTTCGCATTTGCCTCTATAAATACCTCTATTTTTCACGAAAATTCCTCTTTTTTATTATATCTCTGAACCCTAGCAGTCACTCTCTCCCCTTAAAACCCTAGATATTTTTCTTATGAATTTTGAGAGCTTTGTGAAGTACAATCCCAATACGAGGGCGAGATTATCGATGTGTGACAAGGGTGAACGAGTTGTTTGCACTTATAGATTGCTTGCTGTTTGTTTTAGAGGCTTACATATGAGTTTAAGCCAAGATGATCTACATTCAAACCTTACCCGTAGTGTAAAACATGTGTTTATGAAGTAAAATGGTTATTTTGATGCTTAGATCTAATTTTAACATGATAAAAAGTAGATTTTTGATATAAAATCTTAACCCGATGTTAGATCTACAAGTTTTTCTTACTGTTTATAATAGAAACATAATCATGATTATTAGGGTTGTTTAAAATTTCATTTTTAACTTGTTAATCATGTTCTAATCATGTTTAAACCCTAATTTGATGTTTAGTTGAGATTACATGTTGGTTAGAGAAGCTTAAAACCTAGGTTTGTGAAAAATAAGAAATATTAATGAATTTAAATCAAATTATATCTGATCTATGAGTTTTTATAAGCAAGCATATGTTAAACATGTTAAGAAATCATGTTCTAATTGAGGAATTGTGTTAATTAGGTTGTTAAACCCTAATTAGATTAACCCAAAAGTTTGAATCATGTTCAAAATAATTTTTGTAAGCAATTATCAAAGCTTAAGTGTTGTTATATGTTTCGCGATAAGAAAGTTTTGTTTTTGAACAAGTTATGATATCATAAATCAACAAAACCTGAAAACTTGAGAAAGCAGATTTTTTTTCTCTAACCGGTCGACCAGCGCCCTAGGGGCGATCGACCGACAAATATCTGTTTGTGCACGTTTTTGGTCCGGTCGACCATCGCCTTTGGGGGCGGTCGATCAGTTTGCCTCTTTTGAGTTTCCTGAGTGTTGTTTGCTTGCATTTTGGATGCGATCGCGGGGTGTGAGCCGCAGAATAATACACGTACAACCTTGAGTACATACGTATAGTGTCGTAGCACACATATGAGTATCCCGAACGGGATTATGATAAGTGTTGTCTGATTAGCTTAAAATAAAAGATATACATGTATTGTAATATACTGCTTGTTGATTATTTTACACATGAGGTAGTCATGAACATGAGTTGAGGATCCGCACGTGGAGATACGTGCACAGGTGTTGAATACACATTTTGTTTGAGTCATATCACATGTTTAGAGTTGATAGTGTTGGCATAACACATGATAATGCAAAATTCATTAGTTGTGGATGCTTGGTGATGGACATTTTCCCGCAATGAGACCGTGACTATACCACACCAGGAATATTGGGTGTTTTCTCGTAATGAGATTATGGCTGTACCAATACTCGAAGATGATCGGGGGTTTTCGGATTAGGTTGATATGCCTACACTCCGCTGTATGATCATCTGGATGCACCATCCGGAATAGGGAGATATACTTATTGTCGCAGACCGATTGAGTAATGATATTATTTCCACACGATAGTACGATAGTATTCTGTACCTTACAAGAGTATCACTATTTCATGTATATATATATATATATATATATACATACATACATACATACACAGATGTAGTTTTGCTCCCATGTTTGATTACCTGAGAGTAGGGTACAATTCAGATACTTTTGGAATACATCACATGATCTATGAAGATGTTTATTTTGGATGATATTTTCCTTATGACTACGCCACTACCCGAGGGTAGTCCGAGATTGTAACATTTGCTCATCATGTTTGAGGTTTGGAGTTGTAGTCTACTTTCATTTATTGCTTCTCTTTTACTTCTTAGTTGGGATCAATGATTAGCGATTCACAACTTGAGACATATGATATATACATGAGAGTTTCCTCTTTTGGATTATTCCGCTCTACGTATCAGTCTTGTGTTGTGGGTTTCTAAATATTAGTTTCTTTAGATTATTTATCTTTAGTTTGGTGTTAATGTTTAGGTATCTACAACTTGAGACATATGGTATATACATGAGGGTTTCCTTGTTTGGATCATTTTGCTCAACATACTATGTCTCGTTTATAGGTATCTAAATATAATTCCATTAGATACGGGGAAAATGATCTAGGTAGACTATGCTTAATATGTAGAGCCTCTACTTTATCTAGTAGCCCTTCTCTTGGGGGCGAATGGAGGTGATCTTACTGTAGTGCTCTGACGCTCTTGTTGTTATTCTTTTTGTTTAAATTATCTCTTTCAGACAGCTCAGAGTTTTGGAGAGCCACAGGATGACGAAGTTCTAGTATAGTCATCGTCGCACAGTCTTGGTAGATGAAGCTCCACCATATAGTTACGTTCGTTATTCAGACTTTAGAGTTATATTCATAAAGTCAAAGTGACTTAGTATGAGATTTAGTTCATTCATGTTGAGACATTTATTATTTCAGATATCATATGTACTTCAGTTGAGACATGATTCTTTTATTTATGTGATCTCCCCTTCTATATCATGTCTATTATTTTTACTTCCTCATTTGCCTGTTTTGTACCCTTACTTCTTAATGATTCTAGTAGAGGATATTACTGTGATTGGTGAAACATGTTAATGCATTGTGTGGGTGCATGGTAGGTTTGACAATCTGGGTTTCACATTGGACTGTAGCCTTGTGTGAACCCTAGGGCACCACAGTTGATATCAAAGCCAGGTTCTTGCATCCTTAGGATCATCCTGTATTGAGTCGTGGAGCTAGGATAGAGTTTCCTACGATTCATGTATAGAGTCTGCTAGGAATTTCTAGAATGAGTGAGGACATAATATGTATACTTCGAAAATTACGAATTTTTTTTTTCTTTATGACTACCTTACTTTTATTGAAAAGTATTTGCGTGAATACTATGTGATACATTATGTTATGTATATATGTTTGCGACCTCATTTAAAGTATTTGCGTGAATACTATGTGATACATTATGTTATGTATATATGTTTGCGACCTCATTTACTGTGTCCATTAAGCTCTCCTCTTGATATTATAAATTATGTTATGTATATATGTTTGCGACCTCATTTACTGTGTCCATTAAGCTCTCCTCTTGATATTATAAATATTGGGACGAGGATGCGGTCGAGATAAAACTCATATCCGGAGAGCTGGAAAAGCAGAGCTCGAGCCGCAGTAGGCTCCACAGTATATGATCGACTTCATAACGCTGATCGCAGAAGCAGAGACTAGCAACACTCGAGGAGCGAGTA